AAAAACCCCCCCCCCCCCCCCCCAAAAGTCATTGAAGAGAGAAGGAAAAACTGCAACAGATAGCATGCACAACCAAAGTAAATCAATAGTTCGAACTAATAGCCCCTCACAGCTTAAGGAATAATGGAATAATAGGGCAGTCTAGTCATATATTTTGGCAAATCACTCACCTTCAGTGGGACACCATTAACCTCCATATCAACATACAACATGACCTGAAATACTCCATAAAAAGTTTAGACCTTGTTATGAAAAACAAAAAAGCTATTAGAGTAAATGCAGCTGTTTAAACAATCATATGTACCACTCTAGCAAAAGCTTCTGGATTATGTTCTAAAGCAGCTGCCCAATTTTCATCAATACCTTTCTGTAAAAATTTAGTCAAAATGTCATTCATGGTAAAACAACCTTGATATTGTCAATCAGGAAGAGCAGAGATTAAGACAAGATCAATGATTATAAACAGTGGATTATGAGGAAAAACAAGCACAAATTTTCAAAAATTGCTGAATTAAATTTGACAAGGTAATGTCAGTCTTTTAGGAAAGAACTTGTCATAAACAAACTGGTTAATTAAGGATTCACAGGTAATAATCATATAAAACAGAATCATATATCTCAATAAAAACAAGAATAATAAATAGTTGATTTACACTTTCTTTGGCTAATGAAATAAATAGAGGAAAGAAATGAACAAAGAAATAAGAGGGAAATATAGAAGAAAAATGTATTGCTTAGATGGATAAAAATGAGCATAATAAATAGTTGATTTACACTTTCCGTGTTTAGATAAATGGAAGAGTAACGGAGTAAAATCAGAAAGAATATTAAGATCTTTCAACACTTATAGTAATTTATTTTAATAGAAATGCTAGCAATACACTCTCTAAGACACTTTTTTAAACACACTACCTCTAATTGGTTGAAATTTATTGGAAAACACAAAATTTTGGTTAGTCCCACACCATATTTAATGATTCTCTCTTCTAATTTTGTAGTTTTCAATAAATTCTAACCAATGAAAGTGAGTATGTTAGAAAGTGTATTACTATCACTCCTCTTATTTTAATGTGCTACGGTATTAATATAATTAATAATTCATACAATTGTATGACATAAGGGGAGGAAAGTGAAAAGGGATGCATAGGTGGGGGCAAATTGGTCTTCAATTTTTTCTTTCTCAATGTTGTATGACAGTCTCACCTCCATTGAGAAAGAATAGCCCCTGTGGGTCCCATTTTCATTAATTTATTTTTTCCTAATTACATTGTTGAACCAAACTGGTGAAATACTCAAATTATATTCTATTTTCAATTCTTTCCACCCCATTTCTCTCAAAACATAGTATTAGTGTGGGTTCAGATGGATAAGTTTATTTTAAGGAAATAATGGTTTTTTTGCAGCTTCAACAGAGAGCATATGAAACAGAAATGATTATGTCTCCAAAAGCCAAACCAAAGGTGTACAATTAATACATTCATCGCAGCACCTGGAAAATTCCAAACACTATTGGAAATTGATGTCTTACTGCAGAATTAATGCATGCATAAGTCAAAAGTCAATAATCTACCAAAGACTTAGGCTATATTTGCATCTTACAACCACAATTACCTGGTCTAGAACCCAGCATCTAAATGTTTGGTAAAAAAAAATTATGTTCTATTGAGTGCAAATTGCAAGGAAACCTTAGTTGAATCAAAAGCAAAAAGTTGTTGCTTGATGGTTTAGAAAGTTTCGTTCAACTCAACTTAACTTTCTAACAATAATCCAAACACACTTAATCTGTTTTATAACTGAAAAAATAACTGACCTGGCGAATGGCAGCTTCAATCTTCTTTTGAGCTTCAACATCAAAAGGATCAGCATAAAGAAGAGCCTAGCAAAAAGAAGTCACATTAATTTTTGGAGCAAAGTATGCTAATAGAGTGATGGAAAAGCACAAGGAGTAAAAATAAAGAACTCCAAAGGATTAGAATCAAGGCATCTTGTCATTATACAATTGAACTCAACTTTTGACAAATGAAAAAAAAAAAACAATAATGACCATACAGCCTACTTACAAGCTCTTCTTCTTTCTGACGTTTTAATTCATCTCTTTGGTGATGACGCAATCGTAAAACTTCCTGCAGTCTATTCAGATCATTCCCTAAAATAGCTTGTGCCAACTCTGGGTCACTCTGTACGTTCCATTACAAAGATGGTTACAATAAAGCCAAAAACAAGAAAAGAACAAAAATATAAGCAAGCATAAAAAGCAATTAAAATTTTAAAACTATCAAAATCATATCAAATAGTTTGAAATTAAATTACATTTAAACATAAATCACACTAATCAGTAGGAAATTTGAATAATTTTATTAAACATAAGAGTACCATATCATGTATATAATCAGATCTTGATAAAGAAAATGACTTGTATATAACAAAACAAAAATAACTCACCTGAAATAGTTGGCCCATCAAATTAGTGTCACGTCTAATGTGCTGCTGGAAAGCACCAGGGTTGACAGCAGATCCATCAACATTTAAGCTCAAATCATTGGTAGACCCACTGAAATAATATAAATTTATCAAAAAAACTATATTGAAATATTGATGATACTTTATATTTCAATGAAACAGAAGTTGATATAGAATATACAAAAGTTAAAAACAAGAGACATGCATCATGTGAATATCGCAGCAATGCTATAGTATGTAATGGCTTCTTTCTTTGTTCTTTCACTATTTTCACACTTAATAATTCACATGACACTAACAGTAAGCAAATGAGAAATACATAAAATCATATAGATAGTGTCCAATCTCAGTGTACCAAGTCTCCTTTCAAGTGATACCCACTTAACATCTTCCAGATTTCCGCTAACTCATCAGCAAAAGTATCACATGATTTTCTTACTAATCTGTATTCAGTACCCCTTCCTTTACAAATGGCACTCAATTTAGTTTAATTTATTCAACAACACTTCAGTAAGTAAAATGTTATTGCAGAAACATAATTAGACTCTAGTAAAAACGGGTAGAGTATGCACTAAACTAAGATAAAACCCAGATTTTGTCCTACCACAGAACAAAAATTGTCAGATACTCAACAAATTATATCAATCCTGAAAATTCTACTTGCTTGACCAACATAAGACGATCATAGTCAAGTCCCAGAGAATCTCAGTACTCTTTAACTTCTTAATTTCCAGCTTGTATTAGTTCATACTTAACACCTAAGAACAACTGGACCACACACAGACATTAACATCTCAGTAATTTCCGACGGAAGCATAAACAGGATGAGGGTGGTTTACAGGATTTCAAATGTTTTCAAACAGAGGGCCCCCACCTTATCTCATAACAATGCAATTTAACGTAAATAAAATGTCATACCTAGAAGCACCGGCACCAGCACCGGCGCCAGAACCAGACACCATCATTAGCAAATCATCATCCTTAACACCAATAGCACTCAACTTCTCAGAATTCCTCACCTCCTTCCCATTAAACAGAAGCTGCTGTTGTTGAAGAGGGACACTTGTCTACTCATAAGCACAAGTTCAGCATCAAACAAACACAATAAGAAATCCAATCACATAAGGAACAAACCCAGCAACAAAAGGGACACAAAAATTGAAATCAAATAAGACCCAACATCTCATGCAACATTCACGTGTCACCTCAAATTGAAAAAAAGACACATGAAATGAATCGACCATCAACATCACCATTCATCAAACAAATTCCCACATGGGATTTGGTTTCTAGGTTGTCAAATAATGAGAAAAGCACAATCCAGAATTCCGAATGGATAACAGTGTTTCCTTAATACCCTCAACAACATGGAAGGAAATTGAAAAGCAAAAACAAAAAAAGTAAACTTTTTTAAACAAAAAAAAAAACAATTTTTAAGGGGGAAAAAGAGATGGCTAATGTAGAGAAGAAGAAAAAACTCACCTCAACCTCGAGCAATGCTTTGACGTTTTCCACCTACCCAAAACAAAAAAAGAAAAGAGAATGAAAAACAGTGACATGAAAAGAGAAAGATGAAGAGAAAAGCAAAAGAAGGATCTTTGATGAGTACAGATTCGTGGGGATCCACATCCAACGTGATAATTTGTTCGTCAGCAGTCATGACAGTGATCTTCATCTTCAATTCAACCGTGTCTCTCTCTTTCTCTCTCTAGATTTGCGACAATGAAAACGAGGCTAGTTTTCGATGGTAGCTGAGGTACGAAGAGCAAAGACTGTTGGAAGACTCGAACCTTTTAACTGTGACTTGTTGCGGAGGTTTGGATCAATTGGCATGGAGTGGTGACTTCTCAACTAAGAAAAATATAAAATATTTGCAAAAATATGACACAGAAGAAATAAAACAAAAATCTTAAGTTTCTTCGTTATCATCTAATTATACATAGATATGATAATGATAAAAATTTGAATCTTATAATGATTATTTAAAAAATATAAATCAAGACTTCAATATTCTTTTTTACAGAGATATTCACATTATCGTGTATCTTAGTAAGATTATCGCTATGTAAATATGTACATGTCAATTATGGAAATCTATCTGAATTAGTTAATCAGTAAATCATAAATTTCTAGATATTTGAAATTGACTTATCCTTTGATTTATAAACTATAGCATAATAATAGATTAAAAAAATATAGTTAGTTAGTTTTCACTATTTTTAATATACATTTATTTTTTACAAATATATTTTTTATTTGGTGTCAAAATCAATTTTTATATACAAAATTTTGTATGAGAATATTTTTAGAGATTTTTTAAAAAAAATTAAATTTTTATCTAATTTAATTTTTATTCATTATAAGTATTTATGAATTTTAATTCTTACATAATGAACATAAATCTTTGTAACTTTTTTAGGAATTTTTTTCAACAAATTTTTTTTAAAAAAATAACTTCTTATTTAATTCAATTTTTATTTATCGTAATTATTTGTGAATTATATTTTAATATTTTAAAAATAAATTATCAATAAATAAAATAATATTTTATTATAATATAAATTATTTATTATAAATCAAAAA